ATAGGCCAATCAGCTGATCAGTATTTTCGCCCCTTCCCAAAATTACTTCAACGGAAGGTTTCCAGATGGATATGCAGAGCAAATCCATCTGGCGGAGTCAGGTTATAATGCTACTACATAATAATTCCTCCATAGTGTGATTTTCTTTTTTTTTTTTTTTCCCGGACAATTTTTTCCGTTTTGTTCTTAATTGATCATAGGACTTTTTCTCCACTGCTGCATCCACTTCAAGACTTGATGCTAAGTGAAAAATGGCACCTAATGGCTTTCTTTCAACAACAGCTTTTTTTCCCCATACTGTTCTCCTATAAAAGCCAGGTTTGCACAAATAGTTTGTACAAATTTTTTCTATCTGAGCTGTGGATCTCTGTAGCTTCTTCAGAAGTACCAAAAGCCTCTAGGCTACTAAGTAATGATCTTTTTTCTAGCCAAGCTTTAAAGTTGTGCCATTCAAAATTTCCCCACTTTCCTTAATCGGCCCTTAGCAGGTCCTTGGATGGACCCTTACAATTCCCTTTTAAACATCAATCTTTTTACTAAAATATTCTTTCTGTCATAATTTGTGGACAATAAGATCTCAAGAGAAGCACCATCTCCTAGTCAGACCCTGTAATTCAGTGAAAGGGTGGAGTCGAAGTAAAAAATTATGTTGGGTTCTGTCACGATCTTGGTTCTGTTATGCTTTACTTTGCTCCATGTTTTCTATTTTTATTGGTTTAATTAATATTTTGTTGTATTTTCTGGATATATGAGTTCTTTGGTTTTTATTTGTTGGTCTCCTTTTCCCTAGCTCCTTCTTAGACTGCTCTCCACTTACACCTGCTCCTTATCAGCTTGTTAGCCCTGCCTTTGTTCAGTCAGCCATATATACTCTCCCCTGCTGTCACTCTTTGCTGGTTCCTCATTGTCGCTGGTTCCTCATCACTGTTGTCGTCTTACCTCATCTAACCCTGGCTCCTTGTGATTGTTTCCCCCTGATTTTAGTTGGATTTTTGGATTCCTGCCTTTGCTTACTGTTTTCACCAATTAAAACAGCAAGAAATCACCTCTGCCTCCCTGCCTCTGCATTTGGCTCCTCTAAACCACAACCGAACCCTGACAGGTTCATGGAGGGAATTTTGCTGGGAGTTGCAGGGGAGTGGGCTGCCATTCAGCTGGTGTTTGAATTGGAAGGGCCAATTTGAATGGCTGCTACTGTAGATGTCTTTCCAAAGGAACAATGCTCAACGAGGTGTTGGGATCTTAGAAGGTTATAGTTATATACCCTAACCTAGACCTCACATCCTGGGAAGACTGTAAACTCCCTGCTTCACATCCTGCAGACTGCCATTCTGGATCCCAGAGCAAAACCTTAGCCACAGAATGCTACCTAGTGCTAGCAGTCCACTGCTCCATTAGGGAAGGATTAAATGCAAAGGAATAAACCAAGTTGTAAACAAAAAAAAAAAGGAAATTTTCAAATGATTAATTATTAATGATAAAAAAATTTCATAGCTAATTTCTTGACAAGTGATAAATCTCTGAGTCTTCCTTTGGATACTAGTATTTATGATGAGATTATATAACAAAGGTTTATTCACTTCAATTGGACAGTTACTTTAGAATCCAGCTGCAATTGGTTTTATGTAGGAGTATCAAAATATAAATCATAAAACCCTACCTAAGTTTTCATGTTTTAAAACCATTCACCCTTTTCCATTTTCCACTGATGTTCTACTTTTTGTTTAGGTCTATCAAATACAATCCAAGCAAATACATTGATGTTTGTCATAGTAATGTGACAAAATGGAAAAAAAAAAAAAAAAACAGTTCCAGGAAGTATAAATAATTTTGAGAAGCACTGGAAATTATGAGCAATACCTAACAACAGTGTTTCTGAACTTTCACATAAGAAAAAGGTGAGTATCTTTATTTTGGTCTGTTTCCGCAAAGCTTTCTACACATCCTGGCAGTTAAGTGCAAGGACAGGGGGTGTCACTTCTCAAATGGCAAACTGGCGCCTTGGTCCCCTCTGATGTAATGGATATCTAGCACCCACAATCCTCTGTTTGGCCTTCCACATCATTCCACACTGATGCTCTTTGCACCAACCCACTCAGGGCCAAGTCCAAACAACTGCAGATCTTCTGGAATCGCATTAGAAAAATGCGTAGCGCCTGTGATTATCCTTTATTTTTTTTTACTGTGCTCTTTTTTCTTTTGTTTTTTTTTTTATTGTTTTTGCATCCTTTCACCAACATAGCACAAGATGCTGATGATGTTACTAACATGAGTGTGTGTTTGCTCAAGAATGTGAAAACACTGTCTTTGCATGCACAGATTAAGTGTGCAAGGATAAGAAGTGTGTCTCCAGAGAGGTGACCTTTTAACTCTTTTGTTTCCGGTGTCACAGCCCGTTGAAACAAACAACTGCTTGATTTATCAGTCACAAACAAACAATAAATTGCTATATTTTGTTTATGACATGAAATAAGGTAAATGGTAACAGGAGAGACTCAATAAATGGGTTTGAAATTTAGGGAAGTAATAATAATAAAAAAGACTAGGATGCTGCCAAACTAAGCACAAAGCACGGAACAGATAAGTGAAGGGATAAAGAAAGAGAAAAGAGGCCAAAGAGGGGGATTAATCTTCTGGGTGGGCTGAAAATCAAAGCACTAAGAGGAAAAGTAATAATAGAGTCCATTAGATTGATGATCACCTCCAAGATACACGGATATATGCATAAGAGAAACAAGAAGACAAATGGAGTGGGAGCCAAACTAGAATAGCTTATAAAAGAAGAGTCAAGGGACTCTTTTTCTATTCCCTGTATAGCAATAAGATGTGATGTAATGTAACTATGGTCTGCGTTGAAATACAGCTTTATTTCTGTGTGATAGAGAACACCAGCCAAAGATCTAAGTAGGCTACTTACCAATGTTTGTGAGTGGGATTTTTTTGCAGCAACGTTTTATGAGAATGATAAAGTGTTTCGGAAACCCTCTAAGAGCTGCGGTCAC